AGGATGAAGAGATGGGGATACCTAGAGGTAGGAGAACCATGAATGTGCAGTTTTGTGGAAGCCAAGGGTGAAGAAGGATCTTAAGAACGGTGGTGTCCAGTGTTTTATGTTGCAGAGAGATCAGAGAATGTTGTTGGGGTTTTAGTGATAAGGTCATTACCTTGACTCAGGAGAGGAATGTTTTATTAAAGTGGTATGGACTGAAGCCAGATAGGGAAGACCTGAGCATTTTTATAAGGTGATTGGAAGGAGCAAGAAGAGAATTTGGAAATGCATGAGCTGGTGGTTTATGAAGGAAGGACATGTAAGAGATAGGAAGGAAGGATCAAGAATAAAAGTAGAAGGGTAGCTTTTCCTCTGAGACTAGAGAAACCTAAAGAAGTGGAGGAGGGAAGTAGAAGGAGGTGACTTGTCAAATGGCTTCAATTTTAGCAAAATTGGAATTGAAGTCGTTTGTCAAGAAAAGAGGGCAAGGGTGAAATTGGAAACCCAAAGAGGAGATACTAGAACAGTTCATTTGTACCCATTTGTGGTAGACCTAGTCAGCATTTTATCTTGTATAGATTTTTCAATTCAACTGAGCATTTTTTTTACAAAGATGTATTCAGTACTTTAGAAAAGACCAATTTTCCTTTCTTTGCTGATGCCTCTGAAAAGTTCCTCTGTTTAGTCAAAACCGTCTAAAATTTGTTAGAATGGGACAAGTATAGAGGTTTTGAAAAGGAAATTACACTATTAATGCCAGTACTTAGCCTAGTGCCTGGCACATAGTAGGTTCAGAATAAATGCTTGTTGACTAGTAGATTACAGATAGATGTTGCCACATTGACAAATTGACAGTTTTATAGCTCACTAAGATCAGTCTGAGTAATTGTAGATTTCTTAATAGGGAACTTAAAAGTAAAAGAACAGAACTTGAAAGGAAGCATGGATAATTTAGACATCTGCAACTAAGATGTTAGGATTGAGGAGATAACATATGATTAATCTTTCATAGGGGACTTAGTTGCAGGATAAAAATTCTTGAAGTGAACAAACCAAATTAGACATAGGCAAGTAAGTGATAGGAATATTTAAGCAGTTGAATGGAATTTACTTTATATCCAGTTCTGTCAATGTTCTATTTCTGCTGCCCCAAACTCTCTTCATTTTACCATTATAACTTCAGTATTCTGAGGGTTCTGAGATCTTAGCAAAGTGGGTGTTCCCTTCAACAGTATAGATTTCTCAGGTAATATAATTTTTTTACATTGCTTCTCCTGTGTAATTCTCTGTGGTCAATATGACCTTCATGCAAATCTGCACTTCTCTATTTCCTCTTAATTTTTGAGACATAGTATTCCATGACTCATAACCATAGAGCATAATTGGAAGACTATCAGCATTAAAATGATGGGTCTTTGTTTTTGTGAGGTTAGGATAATTACGTAGCACAATTTTCCAAAAGGCAGTTAGATCCACCCATTTTCCTTCTCACACTCCATTTGGAGCCCAGTTTGTTAGCATCTACATCATTTGTCAAAAGATGTGTGGACATACTGGTTGGCTCTGTGGGTTGTCTAAACTGTTTATCATCAGCTTAAACAAAAGGTGTTTGTTATTCACTGAGTTTTTTTCCTGTGTGGTTTCCAGGCCTGATCATGAAACTTAATCAGAAATTTTGCCCCATCTCTGTGCCTTTGCCTAGGCTGTCTTCCATGCCTAGAATGCTTTCCTTGCTTACATCCACCTCTTGGAACCCTTAATTCCCAAATACCGTCTGCTACAGAAGAGCCTTTCTAAATTTCTCCAGTGTTAGTGTCCGTCTTCTTCCCCCCCCACCCCCCGAAATTACTTTGCATTTCTTTGATTCCCTGGAATCTAGCAGAGTGTGTGATACATAGTATTGTTGAATTGGTTAAAGCAAAATTCTTGATTATAGATCTCCTTTGCTGGGGAGGTCATTATTATCCCTGACCAACTGAGCAGAGCCCCTCTTTTCTTTTCTCCGTTTATTTTTTCTGGTGATCTCATCAGCTTACATGGATTTCAGTTATTGTGATGCTGATGAATCTCAGATCTGCATATCTAGCTCTCATCTCTCCCTTGAGTTCCAGTCCCACATCACCAGTAGTTTCCAGGATATCTCTACCTTGATTAAGCTCAACTTTTCAAACTCCACAATTCTACATGTTCAAAAGAGAATCCATTAAAACCCATCTCTCTTCCTAACTTTCTAATTTCTGTTAAGGGTACTGCCTTCTTACTAGCCATCCATGTTTACAACCTTCACATCTTGAACTTGCTGCCCTTTCCTACATAATATTCACTCCTTTGCCCAGTCGTGTCATTTATACCCTAACTTCTCTCCTCTCTATCCTTTTTTCCAACTACATGGCCATCAACTTTACACTAGTATCCATAACTTCCAGTGTGCTATTGTTCCAGTCAGCATTGTTGTGACTTACCAGATCATAATCCTGGCCACGATATCCCTATATGTTGTTTCCCCTCCTCTTAGAAAGTAAGCTCCTGAGGACTCTTGTGGTGTTACTTCTTATTTGTATCCCCAGGACTTAATGTTTTTTCATTTATTCATTCAAGTTTATCTAGTACACCACCTTTATTTTATAGATGAAGAAGCTGCATGAGTAGTTGTGACTTTGCATTTAGGTCCTCTTGACTCTAAAGCCTAGGACTTTTCCACTATACCATACTTAATCAAAAAGTATAGATTGTTTGTATTTGGAAGTTTTAATCAGGCACATCAGAGAATCTCACCTTCCTTTTCAATAAATATTGGCATGTAAGTTTTGTCTTCATGGTGGTCTTTTTTTGCAAATGCTTACATGTATGTCCCATGAAATGTTCCTTGTTGTCTTCACATAACATGATGAAACCTCTTCTGCCAATTCTTTTATTTGCCTATTCAAGGAGATCCTTTGTCATCCTGTTTAGCGTCAGATTTTACCTTCTGGTTTTATTTATAGCAGGAGTTCTTAACCTGTTTGTATGGCTTGGAATCCTCACAATGATGTTTCTAAATGCGTAAAACTGAACACAGAATTATAAAAGAAACCAATTATACTTAAATAAAGAGGTATTTTTTCCCATCCAAATTTGTGATCTTCTTGATTCGTAATGAAGTCACGATTGATATGATTCAGTTCTACTAATAGCTTTCCACTTACTTGGTCATTGAACAATGAATTTGGAAGGACTAACCCTAAATTTTATAGATAAAAACTGTCATTCTTAACACTGTTCTGCCCACTCCCTCACCCCCAATTTCTTTTATGCCACTCTACTAGTCACTGCAGAAAGGGTTGTGGAGCATTTTGTGTTTTTTGGGCTATGACAACCTATGAAACAAAGACTTTATCATGAAGTGGTCAGCCTACTGGTGATGATCTTTCTTCAAGCATGGTAGAACTTTCTAGACCAGACCTGCAAATCATACAGCCTGAAAGCTGCTTGTAGCCTGCCAAAGGATTTCAGTGGCTGTCATGTGACCTGGGAGAACCAATCATTGTTAGTCTGGCCACACGTGGCCTGCGGGCCTGTCTGTTGTGCAGGCCTTTTCCAGAGAGAGCTTGGGCTCTTTTGGCATAGCCTAGGAAAACCCAGGGTCACCTGCATTCCATCAGACGTCACTGGGTAGGACAGCATTTAAACTGTTTCAGTTGTCCTGCTAACTAAATCCTGGTTGAAGGAATCTTAGAAAAAGCCTTCATCATTCTTGTACGTGATTAATAAACAAGAACATCAGTCTGAACAAAATTAGTGTATTTACATACTGGTACGTAATCTGGGACTTTGCTGGTCCCAACTGATGACTGATTTTTTTTTTTTAAATTGTTCTTCCATGTGAGTTTTTGATATTGAAACCATGATTGATTGTGTTTCTACCAAGGTTATAATAGAGGAATATGATAATTATTAAACAAGGATCAATATTGCCCACTACTGTCTAGGGAACTTCCTTTTTACCTTTTTGTAAAAACAAAATTTGGTCATATAAGGCTCCTGTAAGTGTTCATGCGAGATGGGTTTCAGCCTAGCAGCTAAGTGGGGTTTAGGGAAACCCACTGTTCTTTAGATGGTTGGCATTAGGATTCTGTGGAAAACTATAAATTTAACTTAATGGCCTGAGAATAAATAGACAGGTATGACTGTATCTGTCAGTCTTTGACTTTGGGGGACTGTCCACTTAGCAAAATATTTGTTCTATTTCAGATGCATGTTTGCCTATAAACTAGGTCTTAACGACCTGCCCCAGTCTGTGGCCTTTTTCAGTGCAGTTGATATTGACCAATGCTTAAGGAAGGAAGTGACAATGGACTGTAAAACACCTTCCAACCCAACTGGACTAGAAAGGAGATATGGGATCCCCCCAGGTGAGTATATAGTATTCTTCCATTTATGCCCATAGCATGCAGATATTGGAGTTACAGTTGAATTAAGAGTTATGGGAATTTTTTTTTTTCATTAAGAAAAGAAATATGGTCCACTCTGCCACAGGGAACTGGGAACCATACCCTGTTTCTGGGAATTAACATTCTCAACCACTACCCTATCTTCCTTTAGATTATATTATTCCAGAGTCACAAGACAAGTCCCTTTAATTAATTTTAATTGCCTTTCAGGTGAAGCACTGGATATTTATCAAATAATTAAACTGACCAAAGGATCTTTGGAGAAAAGAAGCTAAGCCTGGAACATGCTATTCTAAGGCATCCCCTTTGCTCCTATGGAGCATTAACACTGATTATGACTCCCATCCCACAGGTTTTTTAGTTTACCCTTTTCTGGGACAGGGCTTTCATAGGGACAGTCATTTCTCTTTAAAAAAGACATTCTTACAGAGTCTATGTGCTTTTTGATAAGGCATGCCACTGACATGCCAAGAAAAGTAGAGTGCATTTCAGTGGGTTCAAAACTAAGGTGCCTATGGCCATAGGGTGAAGGCCAAAAAGGAACTAAGGCTTTACAGGCCATGAAGCAGTCGGGAGTCATGCTGTACGTAGCAACTCAGGGATTTCATTTTTTTTTCCTTTTCTTCTTGGCTGGTTCTTGACTATCTTTTCTCTGCTCAGATGCAACAGTCTGGAAGGAGAGAGAAATGTTGAATAAAAATATTTTATCAAAGTTTGTGTCACTCTTGCTTTTTGGAGGAAAGATTTTTCCTTTTAAGGTACCTAATTTAAGGGAAAAGCAATTTATAGGTGTATAAAAGAGGCAAGTAGGGCATATATAACAATTCCCATCTGTTACCTGCATTTAATTTTTTTAATGACCTGATCATACTGGTTAATCAGAATGAGAATAGTATAGATAACTGAAATTACTAAACCTCAATTTCTTTTCATCTAAATATGTCAACCTCTTGCTTTTTATAAGACAGCCAGGTGGAGAAACAATAGCTACCTTAATATTTTCCAAATCTGTCCTCGGTTCCTACCAAATTGTTTATTTTCTTATCTCAATAGGCCCCCTTCCTTTTTCTACAATTAGCCTTATTTCTTTTCTTTTAGTCCCATCTCTACCTATGCCCATGTTATTGACCTATAAAAAGCAGAGATATGGTGGAAAGAACACTTGACTTGAGTCAGTGACCAGACCTCTTTGAGGCCCGGTTTTCTCATCTGTGAATGATACCTGTACTACCTATCTCAAAAGATTGTTATGAGGAAAACATTTTATAAACAGTAAAGTGTCCCATCAGTGTGAGTTATCTCCTTTTAGAGCTACACTTAGATCTAATTATATGTGCTTTGAAACAGAAAAAAAGGGAGCTTACCTGATCTGCCACACTTTCATTCTCTTCATCTGTTTCTTGCTCTTGAAGAGCTGTGTCCAAGATGTCCCCATTAATTCTGAAGTCTCTGGAGGTGCTGAGCTTCATGTACTGCATGAGGTTTACCTATGATAGTATATATAAAGAATTTTTTCATTATATATGTGATCTCTCCTCTGAAGCATCTTAAATCATGTTCAACGTACAGCACTATTGATTTTTAAGTTCCTTCTTGTGAAGAATGGAGTGCTGGACCTGGATTCAGGAAGACCTGAGTTCAAATCCAGCTTCAGACACTTAATGTGAGTCTGTGCACCTCTATCTACCTCAGTTTACTTAATCTGTAAAAAGGGCATAATAATAGCATTTACCTCCCAGGATTGTTGTGAGGATAAAATAAGATAATATTTGTCAACACTCTGCAAACCTGAAAGTGCTATATAATACTATAATCATCTGCTCAATTTGTTTTAAATGTTGTTTTGTTTGAATTTAGTACTCAGATTATTACCTTGGATTTCTTAGAAAGGTGGATGAGAAATTTCTCATATTGTTCAATGGCAAAGATCAGGTTAGGAATTGGCTTGGTCTCCCGAAGAACTCTAGCCTATAAGATAAAGAGTAGGCAAGTATTAAAACCAAATTTTCATGGCTTATGAGTCTTCCAGCCCATTATGGGTCTGTGATTATATTGGAATAGTGAGGGGTTGATACTACCTCAGATACCAGAACTAAATAAACTAAAACTTCTTTAACCAAGTGGAACTGTAAACCTTGCTGATGAATTCAGGTTTCATCAAGCCATCCCAGGTCTAACATGTGCCAGAGTGAATTTTTCAAAATATTAACTCCAAAGTGATTTGCTCTTTTAGACTGGGTTGTAGTAGGTCCATTTTATCATTTGCACGTGTCTCTGGTCACTTCCTGTGGTTCTTAGAATTAAGCTTCTTCAGTATTTGTGCTTCCTTTTCCAGTTCCACAGATACATTTGCTTTGGCAGGATTCCATATCCTTTAGGCTTCATGTGTAGTAACAAATGATTGCACTTCTCCCTGACCAACCTTCCCCAATGGTACTGGGCAAAGAGCACTGGATCTAGAGTAAGGAGGCCTGGATTCAAATTGAACCTGTGATCTGAGGGCAAATTATTTCTCTGTTTCCTCATCTAGATATTGAGAATTTTGGGAGAGAAGGCTGGAATAGAGGGTATTTGAGGCCATTTTACATTGACCCACAGAATAGAGCTTAATACCTGCCCTTTCTGCACAAAAATTAACACCTGAGTTTTTTGGCAAAAATTTTTAACCCCAAATGAAGATGTTTCAATTGAACAAAAAGTCTCAATGCAAATTAGATCATTGCAAAATGCTTGAGTACTGAATGTACCAATAAATTGTGTCAGGATTTAAAATTCATGGCATAAGCTCACCATGGCTGTGGTAACTGCAGCAGTTTTCTCCTTTTTCTTCTCTCCTGCAAAGCTTAGGCTTTCATTCTGGATGTTCTAAAGGAATTGAAAACACGATGCCCATTAGGTTGTCTCTAAAGGCCTCACCCCATGAGAATTCAGAGGGGGGCAGAGAAAGGGCTCTATTCAGCTGAACTGAGGGAAAAAAAGCTTATATCTGTTAGATTTTCAGCTCATTAGCAGTGATGCTGCCCTCTGACAGGTAGTTCTGCCACCATATTTCTGTCCTTACAGCCCCTTTGCTCATATTCCCAGTAGGCTTCAGGATTACCAAGTCCCCAATTCCAATTCATTTCCTGCTCCAAATACCAATCAGGAAATGCCTTCTTCCAAATGAAATCAAAGGATTCTTGCTGGATAAAAATTGTATGAATGCAGAGAAATGTCTAGTTTCTTCAAAAGCTTCTAATCTACAGTCTGTCTCTTCTGGGAGCTCCTAGATTGCTCCAAAGTAGACTAGAGACTGTTTGCTTCGAACTTCGTAAAACATCTGGCCTCTATCAGTAGTCTCTAACTTTTCTTCTGTGGACACGGAAGAAATCCTTTTTGGATACTTGATACACTATAAATCTCAACTTCATAGTCCCTGCTCTGCTCTGGTACCTAGGAATTAATTACTCAAAATTAATTTTTGTTCTTACTTGTACATAAGAGATGAAGGCATAGCATTGGGGTGTCAGATGGGAGCCTGAGAGTTTAACCTGCAGAGCAGAAATAAAATGATTGCATTACAAATAAAACTTCTCCTTTCCCTCCCTCCAGAAAGGCAAACATACCAGTTTTTCCATACGATTAGGAATTCCTCCTGAGCTACGGCAAACCTGGAGATACTGACAGAAAAGAAAATCTTTGTTTCAGCTTTCCTTATATAAGAGTGAAAGTCATTGTGGAAGGAAATGAGTGTTGGGCTGGTAGTCAAAAGGTATGGGTTTGAATCCTGGCTGTAGGCAAGTCACTAAGTCAGAAAGCATTTATTAAGCACAAACGGTGTGCTAGGCACTGCATTAAGTGCTGAGGATACAAACAAAAGCAAGATGAAACTATCATTCCTGTCCTCAACTAGCCTACATTCTAGTGGAGGAGAATAACTATATAAATTCAGAATCTATGGTATAAATGGAAGGGTCAAGCAACAGAGGGAACCAGGGAATGCCTCCAGGAGAAAGTGTAATCTGAGCCGAGTCTTGAAGCCAGGGAAGGTAGGGTCAGAGGGAGGGAGGAGGAAGAGCACTCCAGGCACAGGGGACAGCCAGGGCAATGTCCAGAGTGATGTGGGTACATGTGCATGTGGAGGGGAGTGAAGTGTATGACAGTTGGAAAGGAAGGAACCAGGCTGTGGAAGGCTTTAAATGCCCCAACGGAAGGATTTTCTATTTGACCCTGGAGATAACAGGGAGCCACTGGAGTTTTGAGCAACTAATATGGTCACACCTTAAGTAAGCTGAAGTCTGAGTGAGGTCGGTTGGCAGCTGAGTGCAGGATAAAGGGAGTGGGGAGAGACTTGAGGCGGGGAGACCAATTAGAAAAGTACTATAATAGCCCAGGAGAGAGAGAGAGAGGATGAGGGCCAGCATCCAACTGCCAGCTAAGGCATTTCCCTTCCTGAGCATCAGTTTCTTAATCTATAAAATTGGGATAATATTTCTGCTGCTTATCTCCCAGGGCTGTCATGAGGCAAGCACTTTATAAAGGTGAAGTACTGTTACTGTTCTAAGGAGTAATACTCCTGAATGGAATCTCTCAAGTCAAGTCAAAAAACATTTATTAAGCACCTGTGATGTTCCAGGCACTGTACTAAGCATTGGGGATACAAAGAAATGCAGAACTAAACAGTCCCTGCTCTCAAGAAACTCACAGTCTAATGGAGACAACATGCCAACAAACTATGTACAAAGAAGATACAGATAGGATAAATTGGAGATAATCAGCAGAGCGAAGGCATGAGCATTAAAGAAGATTGGGAAAGGCTTTTGCAAAAGGTATGATTTTAGCTGGGACTTGAAGGAAGCCAAGAGGTAGAAATGAGGAGGAAGAGCATTCCAGACCTGGAGGTAGGCATTGAAAATGCTTGGAGTCAGGAGATAGAGTGCCTTGTATGAAGAACAGCCAAGAAGCCAGTGTAACTGGATTGCAGATTATGTGGGAGTAAGACTTTCTAGAAAGGTAGAAGGGGACACTGGGTATGAAGGGCTTTGAATGCCAAAGACAGGATTTTATATTTAATCCTGGAGACGACATCGAGCCACTGGAGTTTATTTAATGGAGGAGAGGTATGTGACATGGTCAGACCTGCACTGTAGGAAGAACACTGACAGCTGAGTGGAGGGTGGACTGCAGTGGTGGAAGAGATGAGGAAGGGAGACCACCTAGCAAGCTATTGCAACAGTCCAGGCATGAAGTGATGAAGGCCTGCTCCAGGGAAGAAAAGAGGAGTATTTGAGAAAGATTACGATTGGATATGGGGGGTGAAGAAGTAAGTCAAGGATGACCCCTGGGTTTTTAGCTTGGATAACAGGGAAGATGGTGGTACCCTGGGCTGTAATATAGAAGGAAGGGGAGAGTTCAATTTGGGACATACTGAATTTAAATGTCTATGAGGGGCAACTATACGGCACAGGATAGAGCATCAGCCCTGGAGTCTGGATGACCTGAGTTCAAATCTAGCCTCAGACATCAGCTATGTGACCCTGGGCAAGTCACTTAACTTTGACTGCCTCCCCCCAAAAAAGTCTATGAGACATCCAGTTTGAGATGCCTAATAGACAACTGGAGATAAGAGTTTAACTGAATCCACGGGAACTGATGAGATCACTAGTGAAATGGTATAGCGCTGGAACTGGCGAACTATAGAGTTGGCCAAAAAAAAACAAAGGGGGGGGGTGGGCTAGATGTAGGCCTTGGGCCATAGTCTGCCAACCCCTAGTATTGAGGAAGAAGAGGGCCTAGGACAAAGCTTTGGAAGACATTCACCATTAGCCAGTATGTATGAAGACCTGGATGAAGATCCAGCCAAAAAAACTGAGACGCGGCAAAAAGAAAGGTAGGAGAACCAGGATAGAGCAATGTCATGAAAGAAAATATTAAGGAGAAGACTATGTCAAAGGTTGCAGAGAGATCAAGAAAGATGAGGTTCAGGAAAAGGCCATTAGATTTGGCAAGACAGCCTGGGTAACTTTTCTTTCAGAAAAACATAGCATTCCTTTTGGGGAATGGGAGAGAATAGAAACCATTCCTTCATACCTTATTTTCCTACATTTAGGTACAACTCAGCTCCGTGCCTAGAGAGGCCCTTTCCCTGGGACACCAGACTATCATCATTATCCTCTGTAAGAATGCCAACACAGATGTTGCCAAGACTACTGATGTTCCCACTTAAAAAGATTATTCCCCTGCCCCACCCTGACTGCCAGCTGCCTAGGAACAGGGATAACTGCCCAAATGCACTATTTTTTTTTTCTTTTTTCTTTCAGCCAGAGAAAGAGTTTATTAAACATAAACCGTACAGGCCAGATTCTTAAGGAATCTGAATATTAGTAATGCCCGTAGAGACGAGCGGGCATGAGAAAGTCTCGGCGTTTTGGGCATGAGAAAGTCTCAGCGTTTAAATGGGGGCCGGGGTGGATCTTACATACACTACAGTAACTATGGGTGACCAGAGGAGGGGCTGGGAAAAGGGTCTAGGTGAGAATTCCAGTTGGAATGTCTGAGAGATTGAATAGACAATGAGAATAGATAATGAAGGGAACTAGATCTGAATAAAATCAAAAGGGAGGCTTTCAAAGGGAGATTAGGAACCAAGGCTAGAGTAAGAATAAGGGTTTTCTAGGGCCCTTAGACAAATGGGAGCCAAATTCTTTTTGGGGCAAGGGGCAAAGGTCTCGGCTTGGGCCCATACCCCATCATTCCCCCCTCAAACAAATGAGACCCAAATTCTTTGGGTGTAAGGGGAGAAGGTCTCAGCTTCTGAAACTGCTTCCTGCTGGCAAGGGGTGTAGAGCTGTCCCTGCCTTTCTGGGTCCTGTTCCAAAGGCCAAATGCATTATGATATTTTCTATGCCTGAGTATTAGACTACTCTGGTTTGAACCACTTTTTGTTTTCCTGTTTTGGACTTAAACATCTGCTAAGTACAAAGCAGAAGATATTTGCTAATGAATACCAAATGATATTTGCCTTTTCTGAGGCAAGAATTGATGTTAGTGTCAAGGTAATAACAACAACAATGATGATGATAGTTCGCCCTTGCATAGTATTCTGCAGCTTCCAATGCACTTTGTACACAACTCCATGAGGTAAATGATGAGTACTACTGCATGAAGAAAAGGGGATTCAGAGAGGTTGACTTAACCTAGTGTCCCATAGCTAAGACTCAAAATGAGTCCTTCTGACTCTTAATACTTTCCATTATGTTATGATGCCTTTTAATCCTATCATTCCTCCTCAAGCTGTTGTCTTATTTTTTTTCCTCTCTTGCATAGCCAAACTCCTTCAGAAAACTCTCCGCACTTGTCAGGTTTTCTTACTTCTCATTTGCTTCTGTCCTCAACAATCAACTCAAACTCCTCTTTCAAGGTCACCAATGATCTCTTTATTTATCCTTGACTTTTCTGCAATGCTTGGCACTGCTGACTACCTCATCTTGGATACTCTCTTCCTTCTAAGTTTTTGTGACATTGCTTCTCCAGAGTTTCAACCTCACATCATCAAATGCCTGCTTAACATTTTCACCAAAATGTCCCACAGGCATCTCAGATGCAACATGTCTACAACAGAATTAATTCCCCAAAAATGCTCCCTTCCCTATATCCCTATTCCTGGCAAGAAAGCACTGTCGTCCTTTCGGTGATTCAGGACCATACAATCCTCTCAGGTGCCCACACGTGTTATCCAAAAATCTGCTCAGTCTTGGCAACTCTACTTACACATTCATTCTCTTCCTTCCTTCCTTTTCTTTCCATCCACATGGCCATGGTCCTAGTTCAAGCCCTCATAACCTCTTGCCTGGACTACTGAAATAGCTTCCTAATTGGTCTCCCTACACCCTATCTTTCCCTACTCTGATCCATTCTTAATCAAGCTGTCAAATGATATTGCTAAAGAGGACAACCATGTTATTTCCCTATACAAGATGCTTCAGTGGTTCCCTGTTCTTTCTAGGATAAAATACAAATGTCCCTGGACTTTTTGCCAAGATGGTTGCCTAAATGAGAGGCAGGCCCCTCAGTTCTCACATACCTATCTCAGCAAAACTTTGAAGCTTGCATCAGACAGAAAAACAATTGAGAAATCCAATGAGAAACTACACTAAGTGAGATTCCACCCCAGAAGGGCACAAAAAGTCAACTAGCAGCCCACAATAGAGAAGAATCCTTCCCTGTCCCCGTTCCCCACCAAGCATTCCCCATTCCAAGCAGTGTCTAGGCCAGTACCTCCCAGCTTGATCATAGATGGAACACCTGTAGTCTGCAAGGACACAGCCTTGTGAGGCAGCAAAAGCAGAGGGGGCCCCTAAGAAAACACCAGGGAAGAGACCTTGAAAATTCTAGTGATGGTGTTGTAGCACTTGGGCTGTAGACAGTCCAGGCCCAGCAGCTCTGAGGTCCTTAACACCATCCTGAAATGGCAGAGAGGGCCCTAAGTGAACCTCAAAGATTCAGAAGACTGCTGAACCTCAGGAAGTGGAGGTCAGCATGAAGACCCAGAGACCAAGCAGAGCCAACCATTCTACCCAAAAGTGGGGTAGGGGGACAACCTGACCCCAATTCAAGAACTATAGCTAGAGAGAGATCAGTAAGTCAAAGAAAATATCAACCAGCATCAAACATTATTGCAAATTAATTCCCTAAAATTGCAATGGGAAACTCAAAGAAAAAAAAAAAGATTTTCCACAAGGACTCCACAAATACTTAGAAGAAATGAAGCAAGAGATAAAAGAAATAAAAACACTTGAGATAAGAAGTGGAAAAATAAGTAGCCTAGAAAAAAAGTGATAGGCGATAAAAGGTTCTTACCTAAGAAATGGAATCTCTAAAAACCAGAACAGACCAAACAAATAGATTCCACAAGACAGCATAAAATACTAAAAAACAAAACAAAACAAAAAAAAAAAAACTGAAGAAAATATAAGATATCTGATATCAAAAACAAATGACCTGGAAAACAGGTCAAGGATAGAAAATGTGAGTTGTTGAACTGCCTGAAAACCATGTTTACAAAACAAAAGTCTGGATACTATATTTAAAATAATCATAAATGGAAACTGCCAAGATCTTCTAGAACCAGAGGGTAAAGTAAAGCTAGAAATAATTCACTGATCACCTCTTGAAAATAACCCCAAAAGAAAAAGTCCTAGGAATGTCACAGCCAATATTCAGAGATTTCCACATCAAAGAAAAATACTGGAAGCATCCAGAAAGAAGCAGTTCAATTACAGTAAAGGTAACATGAGACACTGAAGCTTTTACTAAAATCCAGGGGAACCGCTGAAATACAGTATTTCAAAAAGCAAAAGAAAGAAAGGCTTACAACCAAAAATATTTTACCTGGCAAAACTGAATATAATCCTAAAGGGGAAAAAAAGGACCTCAAAGGAATAGAAAACTTCACACATCCCTGAATCAAAAACCAGAGCTGAGTAGGAATTCTGAAATATAAATACAAGAGTTGAGAGAAACCTAGAAAGGAAAATTTATCTGAGCAATTGGAAGAAGTCATACAATGACGTATTTCTAACATGGTAATATGAGGAGAAGAAACAAGTATCCCTACAGAACCTTATTATCTTCCAAGGATAGTGAAGGGAGGTTAAAAAAGTGGAAAGGAGAAGAGGTGAATAGAATTTGTTATTTCAAATAACTGGGGTACATAGGAATATACAAACATAGAGGAAGGGATGAAGGTGAGTGGGAATCAGAGGACCCTCCCACTTATCTCCAACAGAGAGGAGAGATGGACACACAGTTTGCAGAAGAAATACATCAAACTCAACAAGGGAACAAGTAGGGATGAGTAAGGAGGGAATAATCACAAACAATATATTTAACTCCACAGGGAAATAGAAGGGAAAGGGGAGAAGGAGGAATTAAAGGAAGGGCAGATGAAGGAAGAGATTATTCCTCAACTAAATGAGGATGTACAAAAATATTTATAGCTTTTTGAAGTGGCATAGGACATAAATTTGAGGGGTGTCCATAAAGTTGGGAATGTTATAACTTGTTAACTAAACAAGTTATGGTACGTGAATGTAATGGAATGCTACTATGCTTTAAGAAATGAAGGAATGGGTGGTTTCAGAGAAACCTGGGAAGACTTAGATGAACTGATACATAGTGAACAGAACTAGGAGAACAATTTATACAATGACAACAATACGGTAAAGACAAACAACTTGAAAGAATTAAGAAATCTGATCAGCACAGTGATCAATCATGATTCTAGAAGACTAATGATGAAACATGCTACCTACCATCTGACAAAAAGGTGAAGGACACAGTGCTAGATGAGACAGATTTATTTTGGACATTAAAGTTGGTTTGGTTTGACTAAACATTTGTAAGCAGAGGTTTTGCTGTTTATTTTGTTTTCAATGGAAGGAGTAGTTTGGGAGGGGAGAGAGAAGGTGGATTTTTTTCTGATTGAAAAAAATGCACAGAGGCAAACAAAAAATTCAGAAAGAAGTACAGACAAGCAGGACAGTTTTAAAAGTAATGTGTAGAGTTTATACTTTTAAAAAAGCAAGTGGTGTGAAACAGAGATTCATAGTTATAGATATGTCCTCTTTTTGTATTCTGCTGTGTTTAGAAACGCTTCTTCTTTGGTGTTTAAATTTAAAAGGAAAAAAAGTCTCCATTTGGCATTTAAAGCCCTTCAGAATCTGGCTCTAATCCATCCTTCCAGGCTGATTACACATTATTCCCTCTCACACACTATATGCTCCAGTCAAACTGGCCTACTTGTTGTTTCACCTACATGGCCCCTCATCTTCTACCTCTGTGCATTTGAACTCAGGTCTTCCTGCCTCCAGGCCCAGTGCTCTATCACTGTGTCACCAGCTGCCTCTGCAGAAGTCAGGAGACTTGGGTTATAATGCTAGAATCATTACTAGTTGCATGACCTTGGGCAAGTCACTTAACCACTCCAACCCTCAGTTTCCTCACCTGAAAAAATGGGGATATATCTGCGTATCTAACAGGGCCCTTAGGGAATGCTGGCGAAGCTTGTCCCAAGTAAGACCAAACTAATGACTACCTTAAGATCTTGGAACAAGGCCGACCTGGTTTGTTGCAGGTTTATGATGTGAATTTGGAAGCGAACTCCGTGATTCTGGACTGGTGGCCACGGGAGAACAGACTCAGCATGACTTCTCTATTAATTACTCACATATTTAACGAGGGCTGTAAGGATGGTATAGATTTTGCTGAGGTTCCTTAGCAAGCTGTCCACACAGCTGCCTGATGGGAGTGCTGTCTGCACCAGCTCATGGAAAGCTGTGAGCAGAGTCCCAAGTTGCAGGATAGCTGCCTTCTCGAGGGCCTGGTTTAGTGAGACTTCCTGAGAAGCCTCCTCTGAAAGGAGAAAACATCAGCAAATGTAAACCCAACACAGCTTCAGTAGAGTTAAAAACCAGAGCAATGTACTCAAAGCCCTTGTACTTTGGCACAAAAGCCTAGTGAAAATAAGTTTGTGGTTTACCAGCAATAAATACCACAGTGACAGAAAGTTAGACTAATTCTACCTCAGAAATTGCCTTTCTATTGAATAGTTCGATGTGGCTTTTTAGTCTCAGTTCCAAACCATTTTCACGTACTTTCATGTGAACGAGCACTTACCTGACAGAGTCTCATGGCCAAGATGTCCTTTAAGTTTGGTGATCAGCCAGTCTACTTCTTCTAAGACTTTTTCAGCCTGACTGAGAACCTGTAACTACAAAAAAAAAAAGTGACTTGGCAATGTGGTGCATAGGACTCAGGTGAGACAGGAGACTTGGAGGTATGGGAGTTAGGCCCCCAGGTTTCAACTACTATAATTTGTCCTTGGTTACTTCTAGTATGCAGTAAATGATATTCCATATGGCTCTGGTAGCAACACTTACACAAACAGTGGGAGCTGCGGTTCTTGGATTCACCATTGCAAAGTGGTTTGGTTTTTCTACCTCTATATCCTGGAGAAGAAGAAAGAGTAAGAGCATCAGCACAGAGGAGATCTTCTTTTCAGATCATAAAAGAATTGGCTCCCAGGCTTCCAACCCTAGGCATGGAGCAGTCAGAACATTCTGCAGCACCTGGTCCAGATCTCCAAGCTGTCCATGGATATCTTGGGACAGGTCACGTAGCAGGCTAACAGGACTCTTGCACAGAACATGGAGGCTGAAGAGCAGATTCATCAGGCCTTTGCAAAATGAGGCATCCTCTAAGAAAGGGAAGGAAATAGGAATCAGTGATCAAGTTACAGGCCAGTAAGCCTGTAAGGGAAACAGCCAAAGATCACGCTGTCTGGGGGTGGGGACCCTGTGGCTTTGAGGCCACATGTGGCCCTCTAGGTCCTCAAGTGCAGCCCTTTGACCGAATCCAAACTTCACAGAACAACTCCCCTTAATAAAAGGATTTGTTCTGTAAAACTTGGACTCAGTCAAAAGGCCACACCCAAGGACCTAGAAGGCCACAGGTGGCCTCGAGGCCACAGGGTCCCCACCCCTGTTGTAGTCTTATTGTAATTTTGCCACACTAACCCAAAACAAACTTGTTTTAACCATCTGTATGGGTCTGTCTTCCTATCCAAGCCAGATAAGCAAAGGCAATTGTCTACTATCAAGATAGAACAAAGTCACCAAACCAATAAAAGACTAGTATAATCCTCATGTCAAAGAGCATTTGTTTAACTAAATGCTATTTGATGACAATGGTTTATATATGGCATAAAAAGAAAAGCACATACCCAGACTGTTTTCCTTGCACATCTTGACTGTCCAGGACAGCATCTGAATCAGCTGTAACAAAGTAGAAGGATCAGTCACTCGTGTGTTAATGACAAACAAAAAATTGAGTTCCAACTATTGTCAAAAATAAACTATCACTGGGCATTTACTTCCAAGTCTAAGCAAATGATTTGCCAATAACTTGCGCACAAATCCATTCCAATTTTGCTCCAGTATCCCCATGAAAATTAATTCTAAGTCTATAATCAAAGACTTCTTTCAGAATGATTTGTGTTTGACTTACATTCAAGACCTACCATCCTTTCAGGGATTAAAATTTACTAATCTTGCCATCTCCTAACATGAGTTATTAAATTTAAATATATAATGAATGCTATTACCAGGTTCTGTGGGGAAAGTTTCCCATTGCATCCTAGCTGCATTGATTTTGTTCATGGAAAATATTTTCTATTTCATGTAATCAGAATTATCTGGGAGAGAAAGGGGAAGGATATGAAACAAAAACTACCAAAAAATTTGTTAAGCACATCCTTTAACAAGAAGTAATAACTAAATTCATCAGAGTATTTCCAAAATGTTCTGCATATCTGTCTCTGAACTCATATGTGAATTTTAAAATATTGCCTTGATTTTTCCCCTAGCATTATTACTATTCCCCACCCCAATCTCCATTCCACAGCTCCCCCTCCAAAGCCTTCTCTTCTAACAAATAAAACTGGTTAAAAAAAAAAAATCCATATGCTGGCCATGTCTGAAAATTCATGTCTCTTTCTACACTTCTAGTCTATCACCTTCATCATGAGGTGGGAAACACAATCCAACACATGAGTCTTCTTGAATCCTGGTTAGTCATTACATTGATCAGAGTTTAGTCTTCTAAAGTTTTTTTCCTTTAAATGTTATAGTCATTGTATAAATTGTTCTCCTTGCACTATTTCACAGATGTCTTCCTAGATTTCTCGGAATCTGTCCTTTACTGTCATTTCTTCTGACACAATATTCCACTATATTTATATATAATTTTTTTCAGCCAGTCCCAAGATGCTTGGCCACAAAACATAGTATTGCTGTAAATATTTTTGTACATATGGGACCTCTCTCTCTCTATGATCTTTTAGGGGTACAGGCCTAGTAGTGGTATCACTGGGTCAAAAAATATAGAAGTTTAGTGTCTTTCTCTGGTTATAGCTCCAAACTGTTTTCTTGGAGAATGGCTACAATTTCTGTGCATTAAGGTACTTGTTCTCCCACATTCCCTCCAACAACTGTCATTTTTTCTTTTTTGTCGTCTTTGCTAATTTGGTGGGTGTGAGGTAAAATTTCATTTTAATTTGTATTTCTCTTAATATTAGTGATTTGGAACATTTTAAAATATGACTTTACAGCTTGTATTTTTCTTTTGAAAAATGTTGGTCCATATCCTCTGAAAACATATCTATTGGGGAATGGCTCTTGTTCTTATATATGTTTTAATTTCCCCATGTCTTAGATATTAGACCTTCATCAGAGAAATTCGCTGCAAAGATTTTTTCCCCTAGTTAACGCCCTTCTAATTCTTGATGTCTTGAGCAATGTAAGAACAGAAGAGAACTTTGTTTGGTGATCTTCTGATTGTTAATCTCAAAGTGGTCCATCAAACAGGGAGATGCGTACTTGCCAAAAATGTCTGCCACTGTCATGGGCAATATCCATCAAGAGTCCAAAAGAAAGGGATTCCCTACAGCTTTTCAGTTCCTACAAATGCTCCAGTTTATGCATGACATTATGCATAATAATATGCACATCAAACTCTTAAGCAATAAAATGGTCCTAAATGAGTTCCATAATCATGCAAAAAACAAACAAACAAAAAATACTTGGCCTAGCTAGTCACATAAGAAAAAACAAGTGGATAAAGAATGACAGACTATGATGTACTGGAACAGTCCATAAAACTGGTCTGCTAGTGCTCAAATTTCAAACCAATATCATAGATGAATGAACTGGGTAATGAACTGGCTCCAAATATGAAAAAGGGACAAGAGCAGGCTGGACTACCTTTGGGAAACTCTACACACTTTTAACGAACCCAAGCTTATCCCTGAAACAAAGGTTCGCCTTTTTAACTCCAATATCCTTCTGGTGATGGATATCAATCTCGAAAGAATTAAAACTGCAGATCAAGGAAACATGCTGCCAACAAATAGTACAGAAGTGGCATAAGAGATATCAGAAAAATGTATGACAGAAAAAGGAGAAAGGCAGGTCACGTAGTGAAAGGAACATTACGGACAGATCAGATGTTCCACTGGTACTCATATGATGCTTAGAGATCTGTGGGATGGTACTCAGCTTATTGGGTAAACCCCCTGCTGAAGACTTGTAGAAAAATATGGACAAAAGCTGCATAGGATAAGAAGGTAGAGAGGGGTTAAAATGTACAACTAAGACAGTGCTATGCATCAAGTTGGTGCTTAATGACCATTGAACAGGATGTCAGTGTCCAACATTCAGTAATGCTCCTTCATTCTAGCAGTCTAGCTGAGGTGCATGCTAGTATGATTTTGGTAAAGCATTTGATATAGCATATTATGTCATTCTTGTGGAAAAGTTAGAAAGCAGACTAAATGACAGTACAGTTAAATGGATCTCATCTGGTTGAATGGTTGGACTCAGCAGTCATTAGCGGTTCATCTTCCACATGGCAGGAGTTCTCCAGTGGAGTATCTGAGGAATCTGTGCTTTGCTATCTTTCCCCTAGCTTTCTCTCATTTTCAAATCTGATAAACATGCCATCTATCCTTTTATCCAAGTAACTGATAAAAGTGTTAGATGGCATACAGCAAAGGAGAGATCCCTAGCATACTACAACAGAGATTTTTCCAAGATGATATGTAATCATTAATGGTAACTGCATCTGGGCATTTAACTAATTCCAAATCTTCTGTGTTTAGCCCACACATCTCCATTTTTTCCACAAGAATAGTCCTGCAACTATGCTGACTGTGTCCACTATAAATCTGTTATATCTAATTCTCTATCCCACTCTCCACAGCTGTTGCTCCAAACTTCTCTCCTCAAGCTTCCCTCATTACCCCTCTCCTCCTCTCTTACAGTTGAGGTCCTTACCTTATACCTTACCAAGAAAGTAGAAGGCATCTGTCATGAGAACTCTCTTCCTTTTCTTCAACCTCATAACCACTGGACATCACCATTCCCTCTTCCCCAATCTCTCTTCCTTTACTCTACTCTGAGGAAGAGATGGCTCATCGCTGCTCCAAGGCTAATACCTCTATATGCATCCTTGATCTCATCCCTTCCTATCTTCTCTACCCTCACAACCATCCTCTCTGTCCCTTAACTTCAAATCCCTCCTAAGGTCCTGGTTCCTTCCTTGCTGCCTACATACTTAAATTACTCCCATTCTTGAAAAATCTTCTCTGGATCCTACTACCCTGTCAAGCTATTATCCTTTATCTCCATTCCCTTTTTCAGTCAAACTCTCAGAAGAAACCAGCCACACCAGGAATTGATTCTTAACTTTTAAGTGTACCACAGACCCCTTTGGTAGCCTGGGGAACCTATGGACCCCTTCTCTGAATGAGCTTTTAAAATGTACAAAATGAAATAGCTAGGATTAGAAATGAAACCAATTACATTGAAATGAAGTTATCAAAATGTTAAATTTTTTTTAAAAGGCTACAGATCCCAGGTTAAGAAATACTGTTTTATACTCATTGCCATGTCTTCTCTCAGTCTCTTCTCAGCCCTTTGCTGTCTGGCTTTCAACATCTTCACTATTTGCTCTCTCCAAAGTTACCAATGATCTCTTAACTGTCAAGTTTGACGGCCTTTGCTCAATCCTCATCCTTCTTGACTTCTTTGACACTGTCAATCACTTTTCTTCTGGATATTGTCTCCTTTGGGTTTTCATGATACTTCTCTCTTTTGGATCTCCTCCTACCCATTTTTTAAACACTCCTCAGTCTCCTTTGCTGTATCATCATCCATATCATAGTCTCTGAGTGTACCCTAAGGCTCTGTCTGGGCCCTCTTTTCTTCTCTGTCTCTGCCTCTTCTCTCAGTGACCTCATCAGTGTATATGGATTTACTTATCTTTTTGCTAATAACTTAAGGATCTATATATCAATATAGATATTCTCTTCTGCTAAGCTCTAGTCATGCATCAAGAACTGCCTACTATACTTCAAAAAGGAGGTCATGCTGGCATTTCAAATTCCACATGTCCTCTGACAAGGGCAGAGTAAAGTGGGGCCTCCTGGAAGTTGTGCCCCTCTTCATGCAGCCCAAGATTATATTAGTTTTGGTTGCCATTTCATGCTACTTACTTGTAGTGACCTTGTAGTCACAAGATCTTTTCCATAACAAGTGCTGTCTAACCATGCCTTCTCTATCTTATACTTGATTTTTTTTTTTAGGCAATTGGGGTTAAGTGACTTGCCCAGGGTCACACAGCTAGTAAGCGTCAAGTGTTTGGTCTGAGGCCGGATTTGAACTCAGGTCTTCCTGACTTCAGGGCTGGTACTCTATCCACTGCACCATCTAGCTGCCCCCTATACTTGGTTTTGTACCCAAGTACAAGACTTTACACTTATCCTTAATGAAATTTGTCTTACTGGATTCAGCCCAATATTCTAGGTGGGGAACCTGTAGCCTCGAGGTCCACATGTGGCCCTCTAGGTCCTCAAGTGCGGCCCTTTGGCTGAATCCAAACTTCACAGACCAAATCCCCTTCATAAAAGGATTTGTTCTATAAAACTTGGACTCAGTCAAAAGGCCACACCCGAGGACCTAGAAGGCCACATGTAGCCTCGAGGCTGCAGGTTCCCCAGCCCTGCTTGAGCCTGTCAAGATCCTTTCTGGATCCTGACTCTCATCCAGTGTACTGGTTATTCCTCTCAGCTTTGTGTCATCTGAAAATGTGAAAGGAGGGGAGACAGAGAGAGAGAATAAGCATTTCTTAAGTACCTACATGCCAGGCACTGTGTAAATGCTGTGCAAATAGTATCTTGTTTAATTTAATAAGCACAATATCTATGCCTTTATCCAAGTTACTGATAAAAATGTCAAAAAACACAAGACCAAATACAGACTGCTAGGATACCAGGCAAATACATTCTTAGCAGTGTTTGTTAGGTACACTCCAGGTTGAGCTTGGGGGCTTGTTATTCTATATTTTAAGCCATGGTCCAGAAATCCAAATCCCACTCTCAAATTTTTAGCTCCAAGTGTATAATGGTTCTTCCGTTCTGCCTATGTGACACTCTTCTATTTCCCAACTTCCTGACAGATCAGATTTCCTCTTTGCTTATTCAGATCTTTTCTCATGGAGAGATGCTCTAAGTATCTTCACCTTCTCTTCTGGGAGGGAGACTAGCCTGCACTTTGAACATAGATAGCAGTCATTTGGCCATGGCAGAAATATGAACATCACATACGTTGTGCAAGTCATTGCAAAACTCATCCAGCTTTCCTGACAAAGCCTCAGGTTCCCAAACTGCTTACAGGTTTTTAATAGCTTACCTCCTTAGCATTTCATTAACACCTTTACACCCTTTAAAAAAATTCTCTTTTTACATCCCTTTGCTCTTTTATCAGCTTTTAACAACTTGACAGCCTAACTTTACCTAACTTTCCCTTCTTTCACTCACATTTAGTCTGGTCTCCTCTTAACAATGCTTTACATGTCTTTCTTACCTTACCAATCACCTTCTTTAGGTCCCTTTTCCTCAGATCCCTCTCCTCCATACTTTCCTTCCTTCAGCTATAATTGCTAGTTTTCAACAATTCTCCAAGTTCTACATTCTTCCTTCCCCAAACTCAATCTCTAACCTTCTTGCTAAGTGCAGAGCCCTCTAAATTCCTCCTCCTTCATATTCAAGTCCTTTTCTGCATTTAGTCCCTTTCCTCATTTCTTTCAGAAGCCAGAAATCGCTGCAGTCTTTCTGCAAGGCCCAGGCTGGCCTGAGGTGCCTCCAAGTGAAGGAAAGGGACCTAGCAGCCCCTGAAGGACACAGCATCCTTGGATCTGGTAAGAACCCCCCATTCCCCATTTCTGTATTTTCCAAGCAGAATGTCCCTCATTGAAAGAGGCCAAGAAAAGAAAAGACCTTCCTGGTCCTCTCGGCTGCAGCACACATACAGACCCGTCTTTGCCAGCAGCCTTGCTTTTCCTTTGTGGTGCCATGCATTCCTGCTTGATGCTGCTCCTCTTAGCCTACAGCTGACCTGGTGGCAAAGCCTCCTGTTGAATGCTCTGGCCATTTTCCTGCCAGTCTATAATATTATTCACACTGACTCTAAGAGGAGGGGCATGGTAAAGAAGAGCACAGTTGACTATGGAGTATCAGAAACCATAGTTTGTAAGTCCACAGCAGGAAGAGACTTTACAAAATCATCTAGTTAAACTCCACCATTTTACAGAAGAAGAAACAGACCACTCATACGAGTTCAAGGTCATATAGGCATTAAGTAGCAAAGCCAGAATGCTTTCAAATACACAGCTTGGCAGGAAGACTGGCTGAAAGAGCATATGGCTTATATTAATGGGAGTTAACTTTAAAGCAGAAATAAATATATGTAGATAGTTTACAATAAGCTAAAACAGGGTACCCAACTATTTTCATGATGCAAATCTATCTTTTCTGAGGAAAGTTAACTTGAGAATTCAAAGCTTAATACTAGTACCTGAGGGGAGGAGGGATCCAGTAGCTTGGACAAACTGGAAAGAACAGTCACTAATAGGAGAGCCTCTTTGCCATTGAAGTCATCATCTTGGCTGCTAAGCAAGTTCACTAGAGATCTCTGTGTGAAGAAAGTTCACAGGATTATTAACAGACACGTTTACCTGGTAGAGAGAGTTTTGATTTCGCTGGCATAAGGAGTTCCTGGAGGAGGAAACAACTCCCTCTCCCAATGTAGACAGGTCCTTTTTTTCCAACTCAGAGTCTCAGAGAACTGCTTAGAATGCTGAGTAGTTAAATGATTTGACTAGGTTCACAGAGCCAATATGTGTCAAAGACAGGACTTGAACCCAGGCCTTCCTGGGTCCAAGGCCAATTCTATCCACTGTACCACATTGTCTCTCCTACCTGGTACAAGGGAGAAATAATTTAGTCAGAGATTTCTATGGCAGGGGAAGAAATGATTAAAAGCAAATGAAGTTTTGATAATTTCAGCAACCCAAAATATAATGCTTATTTGAGGTACAAACAATAAAATATCTTAAGAATTTCTAGTCTGGGATGAAGAAATGATTTTCCTCACCCAAGCTGTAACCAATGTGATAAAGATACTCTAAGCATCCTATGGATTCAAAGGAAAGGGATAATACTCAGATCCTAATAGGTGAATAATTTTACTTTAAAGAATGATAGTTCCTATACTTCATCTTTGTGTGACTGAAGCCACCAGGCAGCCAGGTGGCACAGGGCATAAGGTACTAGGTTTGGAGCTAAGAAGCCTTGAACTCGAGTCTGTCTCAGATACTCACTAGCTGGGTGACCCTGGGAAAATCACTTTACCTTCTCTGTAGTTCAGTTTCTTCATCTGCAAAATAAAGAAGTTGGACCCGATGTCCTACTATGTGGCAGGCACTGTGCTAAGTGCTGGGGATCCAAAATGAGGCAAAAAGTCCCTGCCCTCAAGGAGCTCACAATCTAATGGGGAAAGACAAGACAGAAAGAAGCTGAAAAAGGAGGGGTGGAGACTACCCTACCCTGGGCATGATGACCGAGACAGAAATGTTCTGAGCTGAGAATTTCAGAGATTTCATCTTACAGACTGAGGTAGGAGGGGGCTAGGTTATGAAGGGCTTTAAATGCCAAATAGAGAGTTATGTATCTACCACAGTTCCCCTTTTTATCAGCAGCTTCTGCTATGGACTGCCATTTCTCCTCCCAAGAATCATTTTCAGTGCTTAAGCCAAATCAATTCACTAACATTACTGCAGCAACTGATCATTTTTCACTTGTATTTTGTCAAATTGAAGATGACCTACTCAAAGCCACTCACCTGAAACTGCCTAATCTGGAAAGTTGCTCTCTGGGTGATATTAACATCTTCTCCTCCTTCATCTTCATCGGTGATATCTAGGAAAGGCAGCTAAATGTTTTGATATGGATTCACCTTTTTTTTTTCCTGTCTATTTTTGACATCAAGCAGTGTTCAGGGGCAAATTTAAAAGATTAATTTCCACCACCACCCCCCTCACCCCATTGCACCTCCAGACTTCAAACTACATTGTAAAGCAGTAATCATCAAAACTATTGGATACCAGTTACAAAACAGAAATATAGATCAGTGGAACGGATTAGACAAGAAGGAATCAGAAAAATTACTAGCTCAGTAATCTGGTGTAAAACAAATCTGAAAACATAAATTACCCAAGCCAGATTCCTGTTTGGAGAGAACTGCTGGGAAAACCGGAAAGCAGTCCAGCAGAAATCAAGTTATATCTTTCACCAATAAACATAAAATGGATATATTGCTTTAAATATTAATGGTCTTACCATTAAAAACCAGAAGAGAATAAGAGCAGATACCTTTTACAGCTATGGTTAGGGTATTCATCCCTTGGGAATGTAGGTGATATAAAAACAAAAGCTATCAGTAATAATTTTAAAAGGATCATCTCACACATCCTGCAGGCTTTTAAAATACCACACTACATTTTTCTATGACTATTCCTAATTATATGCGGCTTAGTAAATGCAACTTAACGATCACTAGATGTCACTCCTTAGCAAATCAGAACTATCCTTGGAAGTGCAAGAGGTCATTTTCTAAGTTTTCTAAGGTTGCAAGGAATAGGACAGCAGTAAAGAGAAGTTAGGTCTATGCCTACTTCTTCACATTTCAAGTACCTACCGAGAGCCCTAAGGAACTGATGGATCTTGGAAGGAAGTAACTGTTGCACTGTGTGGAAGATTCTCTGCAAACCCTCCAAGCACAGGAGGGAGATAGTCTTGCCCTTCTCCTTCTTTCCTGACTCCTCCACAGCAGTGGGAATTGAAGTATACCTCCACAGCAGGACCCTGCAGAGAAGATCACGTGTGCATGTGCCAGCTGATTCAGATGACAGTGGCACAGGCATAAAGACTTCTCCTATCACAGCCAGGTCAACCGTGCTCTTTGTTCACGTTCTCTGTTCCCCTCCTGTACCCTAGCCCCAGCCAAAAAAAAGTATAAACCCCATGAGAGCAGGAATCGTTTCTTTCTGGTTTTTGGGTGCCTAGCACTCAGCACAGGGCCTTACTCATGGCAGGTACTTATCTAATGCTTGTTGAGCTGAATCAAAACCTTTTCCTTCTCAGGTCCTTTCCCATAAAAGATGGAAAGCAAGGGTTCAGAAGGCTCAGTGACTCACCGAGTGATTTCACAAAGGTTCTGGAAAATCCTGTCCAGATTCTGACCATCGGGACCATCTACCTGCCCTGTCTCCTCCAGCTGCTGCACCTTCTGAAGGGCAACATTCACAGCATATCGCATGAACTCATTGCTGGACCGCAGGACAGATAAACTTTCTTCGTGGCTTTGGGAACTATCTCTAAGGTAGAAAAAAAGAAGCATCTTGTTAATACTTTTAAAATTTCTCTAGCACTGGGATCACCTAGATTCCTAAGTTTAAAAATCATTGGAAAAAAAGAAAAGGAAAAAAAAAAAGAAAAATAAATGGGCTGATGATTGGGGAGTTGCTGGACTGTGATACCCAAATGTAATGATTATTGCTAAGGAAAAGATATTTCTTTAATGAGCAATTCCAAGAAACAGGGAAACACTTCTATGAAATGATACAGTAAAGAAAAAAGAACTAAAAGAATGTACACAAGGACAGCTATACAAATGACAATTTTTAATGTCAACAAACCTCAGATTGAATACAATCTACAGTAGTACTATTATTAAAATGAAGCACGTATTATTTTAACAAAAGGCAACCTATTTTTTTAAAGGTATAAATAAAGTTATTAAATAGGAAAAATGGAAAACTACTTCAGTGTATGGTTATATCTACTATTAATTACAACCATTCTTTCATGATGTTTTGCTTAACTATTTTGGGGGACTGTACTTTGTTGGGCTTGAGTTTGTTGAAGTTTGTGTGCCATATCAAAACAAAATTTATGAATTAAAAGAAAAAAGAAAAATAATTGAACCGTCAGGAAGATCTGGATATTGTTGAGGGTGGCTTTTGAGATCAGTGCTCCATCTTGTAGCTCCAGATCTATGATTTCTCAGGTCACCCCCACTTTCTCATACTTAAAGCCTTACCTTCCTTGTACTCCCCACTTTGCCCTTTTAATTTATTTGCTCTTTAAATTTTGTCTTGATCTGCTTTCTAGTTCTTTTATCTACTATGCAGGTTTCTTTTGTCATACTTTTCTTTCTTCTCTTCTTCTGTTATATGTTCATATCAACAGCATTTGCATTACAATATGTCAGTATTAGATGGGCTTTTAGAAGTCATTTGGTGAAACACCTTTATTTTATAGGTGAGAAGGAACTGAGCACCTTAGAGGATTAAAGGCAGAGATGAGACTTGAACTCAGGTCTCCTGACTCTTAGAGACCAAAGGTTTTTCCACTTAACCAGTTCTTTTTCCACTATAGAACTGCCTCTGACTATGGTCTTGGCTGGAATTCATCCCTACATTACCCCTCATATCTTTTTATCTTCCTGAGGTATCTCATTCCAACTGCTGTTAGTTCATTAGGGTTTATTTGGTATAGTCTTCCACAAAGTAAATGGTTTTGTGACTGAATTGCATACACAATGAATAAGAAATGTGGGAAATCGGCAGAGACGCTGGTGTTGATTTGGGATATATTGGTGAATCTAAGCATGAGCAGAAGTACTTCTCCTCCACAGAGCTATGAGCTTATTAAGATATTCTGTTGCTTCATACATGCTGACATACTTGCAAAAATTACACTGCTCTTCTGGGGGATTTCTGTTAAATTCACAGAATTTAGAACCTATCTGGAAACAAATTATTACCCAACAACTTTCCCAGATGATAACATTGAGAGATCTTTACCTGAATAGAGCCACAAGCAGAGTAGACACAAATTTCATGGACAGGAAACTACGAACTGTTTTGTTAGCCATTGTGGACTTGCCTTTCCCAGCTTTCTCCTTGAGGATATCAGTGAGTCTGCTATAACACTTAAATAGGCTCAGAATCTCCTCAAACTTATTTTTACTGTGGGAAAGGAAAAAGCAGTAATGGTAAACTACTACATCAAACTACTGTGTTTGCTCCTGCATGCACTCATATGACCATATGATAAGAGCAATGATACTATGTTTTCATCTTCATTAAACAGCATAATCATCCACAAGTCACAGAAATCTGCTTAGAATACTATCAATATAAACCAAAATTTCTCCATTAAAATCAAAGGAAGCTCTTGAATTCAGGGCTTGGAGAGCCTGTTACCAGCTTACAAGGTGAAAACTATACACTGACATACCCATTTGGCACACTCTGTAGCTCTATGTTATGAAGAGCTAAAGTGAAAATTTTTAGATTGTGAACCTATCAAAAAAAGACACATTCTGTGATCTATAGATTGAGTGCTATTGACAAGAGTTCAATGGAAACCAAAAATTAAGATCCTTATTTATCAACATGCCCTACTAACAATAAATGGATAGGCATAGTTGTCCTTTACCTGAAATTGCCTATATTGAAATTATATTCGATCAGGACCTCACACACTCCCATCACTAGGAGAGCATAGATATTATTCTTGATGCCAACACTAGTGGTCTGAGAGAAATCTGCTGATTTATCCTGAAAAATAAAATTGAATAAATTAATAAATTGTTGAATATTTCCATTACCCAAGTCAAAGCACCCCTGAAGAAATGTCAATTACCAATTCAAAGTCCTCTAGCTCACTCTTGATCATACGATTGGTAATTGACTCCAGCATGTCTTCTAAGTCTTGCTGGAATCCTTCTTCCTCCTCCTCTTCCTCCTCCTCTAAGGGCATCACTTTATTCCTGTACCATGCCAAACAATGCTGGATACAGCACAACAGGTGAGCCTGCAGGAGAAGAAAAAATCATTCAATCTAATTCCTCATTGTTACTAGGTTTAATTGAGTTAATATCTACAAAGCAAATTATTTATTAGCATCCACACCTAAAAAGGTATCAAATTAACATGAATTACTGGAATTTTAAACAAACATACTTAAATAGACAGCAGCTTGTTATACACAGTGTTGGAATCCAAACCCTGTAATTTCGGTCATTATTTGAGTACAAGGGAACCATTGTACAATATTAAATGTTCTTTGTGGCTTGCTACAAATGTCACTGGTACATGACCTCTCCCTTAGTTCCTAGAGCTATATGTTTCATTCCATGGACACAGATTTAGGCCAACATAGATCCTGAAAGATCAATACTAGGAAGCTGGTTCCAGATCCAGGACAACATTGGGAAAGGTTGTCAATATGGAGTAAGATTCCAAGCAGATATGTCTTTCAGTGGGCTCCAGAAAACTTCTGGAGCTCTTGTTTCAATTTTTATCTTGACTTCTGATCTCCATGGATAGAGCACCTGGGAAAGCTAGGATGAGAGTACATACATAAAACCAACCTCGGGAGGCAGGAAGACTATCAGAGGCAAGAACAAATATG